GCCCTCCTTCCGCCGACACGCGCATATGGCGAAGTGCGTACGCACCTTATATATGTGTTAGGTCACACCCCTTTCAGCCTAGAGCGGTTGGTTGCTTCTTTGTTTTGTTACTGACGTCACGTCACCATTCGATCAATCCACAAACAAACGTCAGCTGTGAATGTTTATTCATGACCGTTCATTCATTTAGTTGCTTAAGTCAACTCATCACTCCAAATTGGGTTCCTCGAATGGTTCATTTGTTTTAACAACTCAGGTCTACATAGTCGATGACGTACTTTCGACCCGCTCCCTCGTCGTACTTTTGATTGAGACACAAAACACTGCTTCAAATGTTCGGGAGTTGAGTGACTTTTCTTCTGAGTAATGATCATTCGCATGAAAAATGTTTACTTTCATTATTATTTCTGTCTTCTCGTAGATTTTCGATAGCTGAAATCACTCGTGAGCACAAATATCAGCGAAGAATTTAGTTGACAGTCGGCTCATTTATGAGTTTATTGAAGAAACATGATGTAATATAGTAACATTTGACCAAGCTGTAGAGCAAGAAATATTAGAAATTATTTGCTGATGGGAATAGTTCCGTAGTTGTTCGTTAGTAGACACTGACGGGTAGGTAAAAATTAGCGCTGTTCACGGACGAAATATTTGCGTGTTTCCAAAGAACACTTATCAACTATTTCTTTATATTTAGCAGTTCTGGAACACAGATGTGTGAAGTAACGAATAATGCTGACGACTACCGACAATTCGTCAAATTTGCCAAATTTTTTACTACTAGATTGGTTAGTCCGTTTTATGATCAAGAAAGAGTAGTTGTATTGCTTTATTAGTCGAAACGTTGTGCATTCATGCTGTCCACAGGGTCATTGCATCCCTGTTACCATTTGCGGACTAATAATTTCGCACTGAGAGTGATGATCTAATGTGAAGATTCAAAAGAAAATTGTTCATAAGTATCTTATTGTCTAATACACCGAAAATCCTACGTTTCCTGTTTTATACCACAAAGGAAACTCCTTTTCTTCCATTCCGACCCCCCAACCCGTCCTTAATTATATCAACATTCGAACCATTCTAATGTCCTTTCTATCTGATTACGCACATCATTTTTTGTTTCGTACTGACCACCTAAATGTAATGTAGAGCTATAAATTTGGTCTATTCTCTAGTTTTAGTGTCAATTCTGATGCTTCATAAATCCATGCTACATCCTTATCAAATATTGCAACCGTTTGCATGTAAGCACTTCATTCATTTATTCATTTGAAGTGTTACATATATAAGTGTTAAGGTACAAGCAGTAGTCCAGTCTCGACTTGGTCACACAATCATACAGTCGTGTTATGCAGAACCGGATGCATCTGACTGGTTCAATGTTCGTGTCGATGAACTCGGTGAAATTGCTGCTTATATGCGCGCAAATATTTCTCGGTGAATTTTTGAATCTTTCGAATGTTAGAATTTCAGTACAATAATTACTTATTCATAATTTTGATCGTATTGGTAGTATCCAAGAAGAATTGTTGCCTAATTGCAGTTATCCGCCTGCATCCAGCTGTGTAGGACTGGAATTCTTGTTGAGTAATGTCGAAGGTGATATTCTTCCGTTAGAATCATGGTAAGCTTTTTCTGCTCCAAAGTTCATTTTTCCGTAACAAATCGTCATGCAATAAACTGCTCTTTTCTCAAGAAAACTGTTGAATTATGACGAAGACAAGTACTTTCTGATCCATTTTAATTTGTGAGGTGTATTATGTGATATCAATTGACTACTTATAATGTATAGAATATGGAATGCATTTTATCCTCAACATTAGTGATATTTAAGTTGTCTGCAACGATAATATCATATGATAATTGTAAGATTATTTTTTTAAAATTATTTGGCTATGTCAGCCCACAATTCCATTCAGTGAATTGTTCGAGGTCTTACTGTTTATGTCGGTAGGTACCAGCTTGATTAGATGTTTATTACGTGTTAGATTATCATTTGTATCATAGAGTTAACAAAAAATGCCTAGCCTGCAGCCGTTATTGCGATTGTATGAAATGCGTTTGATGTGAGCAGATCGCAAACGAATGCTTGTTGATCGATCCATGTGTACTACTGAAACGTTCTGGGGTCATTTCTCGAAAAGTGCATTCGGTTTATATCTTGAAATTCGTTTGAGCTTCTCGAAATTGAAATAAAGCAAAACCAAAACAATTTCGGCCAACCTCAACGACTTTAGTCGGATCGGATAGGCTTTTTCCTCGAATTTGTTGAAGAGTAATCATGAAGAACTAACGATGGAACTTCCAGGTGTGTACGTTTCGATTCAACAGTTGTCGATGCATCCGTTAATATTCGAACTAAATTATATCATCAATTGGGGACAATGTTAAAGTCAGCAATCGCTGCGTCTCGTGTCACTCCCACTTATCGGTACTACGCTCGAAAACAAAGTCCTGAAACGTTCATCATCCTCTACAGGGTTTGCATTCGTTGTCTCATCCAACTAGAGTTTGTGTTTTATGTTGATTTGCTCTATGAGTGGCATTTCTATACTTCATAATTCATTCATTAGTTTGAGTGAGCTCGACTCTCATTTATTTTATTTCATTGTGTCTGTATGCTTATCATTGCCACTTTTATTTTTGTAGTGATGAGTGAATTTTTTTCAGGTATGTGAAGGTGAACCCCAACTAGATTTAGGTGAAGGTCAACGAAAATTTCGAATTGGGGTGGTTTCATCACCATTTGGATCCTTATGTGTTGAGTTGTCATACCGCACTCGACTGGAGATTGATCCGTAAATTTTACTCTGTTCATCAGCTTTTTGAACAAACTCAAAAACAATAGATTAGTTGGACAGTGAATCCGACGACATTATGTATAGATGATCGCAATAGGAAAACGATTTGTTCAGGTCAACGAGATGCAATGAAGGTTTGGAAGTGAAGAGTTCTCCTCACAGAAGTCATTCGAATTCGCCAACATGTCCAACCGACATTCCTTTCGGAGTTGTTCCAGTAACCGGGGGTGTTTTGGAGGCCGTCAGTCCTGTTTCAGATATCATAAACAACTTCAATACAAGCCCCACCGGTCGGGTAATACGTTCAGAAAACATTTCACATTAACGTAATTAATCTCTGTTCGTTCACAGATGCAATGAGCACTTCATTGATAATGTCAAAACGATCTATTAATTTGAATCTGAATTCGTAGCTAAACGAATTAATTTCATATAAAATCACATGCAGGCGTTTCTTATCCAAGCGTGTATTTCTGAATCTTTTGAATTAAATATACTGCAACATCACTTTTTCTGTGGTATGGTACTCATGTGAGCATATATGAAAGAAATGTGTTCAGAGTGATGTCGTCTTTGAAACAAATTCTCCACAGCGAACAAATTTTTGTTTGGGTCATTCGTTATCGTCATCAGACGAATCGCTCAGTCACCAGCGTCATTTCGAAACGTATTCAAGTGACGAACCCATTTTTGGTGAGTCTTCATCAGCATTTATCTACCATCGAATTAGTTTCAATTTTTTTCGTTGCATTTTATAATCCCGAAAATATGCTATCAATGTTTGGAAGAAACTTGTAAATAATGTTTGCATTTCAGTTTTATATAATTAACTCAATCGTATTTTCCAGAACACTGTGCTGTGAAATAATTTCATCATGACTACTAGTTAGAGTACGTTAAGTTTGGCACGAGAATTGGATATTCAAGAGTCTTTGATGATTTCGTGGAGGGACAAACATTCTCTCTCCCTCTCTTGGAGAAAAAATCAATCTCCAAGAGCATATCGAAGCTTTGTTCATTTATCTCGTTGAATCAGCTTTTTTCTAGCAGTGATCCATTTGTTTCAATGTAATTCATCTTTAAGGAATGGAGTCGAGCAGCAGTCCTCAGTCAAGTAGTAGTGCTCCACTGCGTTCTTTTACAACACAAGTATGCATTCATTAAATCATTCATTAAATGGTTTCAGTTTTTATCAGAAGTTTATCGAGTAACACAACAGTTATTGTTTTGATCGTGAAAATTTTCAAAGTGAACTTTTGCTGAATTTTTTTGTCCAATCTTGAAGGCTTCATGAAAGAATTATAAATTTTTGTATGTAACATTTGACCAATACAATGGCTTTGTTGATTCATACGAAAGTGCTAACCGAAGGTTCTACAACAACGCAACCACTCATTTCCGTTCGCAGCTCTTTTGACGGCCACGTCTTCAAACGTAGATAATGACGAACATTCTTTCCAGTCGTCCGATATCAACATTAGCACTGCAAATTGCAGTACACCAGGTGTCTGCTTACTTTTCTTTTCATTTTTCTACTTACCGTTTCAGTCACACAAATTTTACGTTCGTTTGTAATGCTCGATTGTTTCATTGAATTTTTCCGTTCCAATCAATAAGTCTGTACCGAGAGATTGTTACTCGCCGGTTAACGAAATACATTACAGTATATCTGAGTTTTTGAAATTCAACTAATTAATAAAGGAAGTGGAGGGTTGTAATTGACACTAATAGCTGTCCTAATGAGAATGATGGATAAGGAGTTGAATGTTCCCGAGATTTGCATACGAAGCGTGAGCAGTTACAGTGAGAAGTGTTTGAATGGAACAACCTACCGAAATGTGCTAGCAATGAAAGAAAAAGTTTAGTGACAGTGACAACAACAGCGACATGTATGCGCCAAAGTGCAACTGTACCCGTTGATGTCAATTTGATGCGATCGAGTACCACTGATGCGAAGATATTGAATGGTCACAGTCAGAATCATGCCTCTGCTGATGATGAAGATGTGTTGAGCGAAGATGAAGGATACGTGAAGGTTACCTTTGATTCTGTGTGTAAGCTGAATGGTTCATTTCAGAATTGTCAGCGAATAAGACTTTGAGTTATTTCACAGATATTTTTTTGTTTTTGACTCTGTTTCTGTTGTATTCCTTCTCGTGAACTACTTAAAATATTTCCTCGTCATTATTCATAATGCGCATTCTCAAATAATTGTTCAACGTGGAATAATTTTTCCACCAGCTATAAATTGTTATTTTCGTATGGTCCGTCGCTTACCGAATTATTTCAATTTTTGCAGGTCGCGTTTGCTAATTCTGGAATGATGGATGTTGATCTTGGTGAGTTCGTAAAGGAGTGTCGTTTAGCTCCGTTACATTTATCCGGTTTCCAAACGGATAACCCGGCTTCCATTCCGAGCTTGGTGGGTTAACATATTCCTAGCATATAAAATGTACTCGAAAGTCGTGATTATATGTTTTCTCCGATAACAATAATATTGTTTCATTAGAGTATCACGATACATATCAGTACAAATAGATGTATCATCACACTCTGTTTTAGGTGATTTCCTCTAGTAATTGTCATTAATAAATTATGTAACTGCTGATGAGTGAAAACTGCGATGGTGTATGATTTTTAGAGGCGTTTACGTCAAAAGTCAAATGCCTATTTCAAAAGACATTGCATTTTTTTCAGCTAGCCGAATTCGAAAGCCATCAAGAAATGTTCGACAGTTTCGTTTCCAAAATGCGAACCCAACTGAATGAAGAAGAAGCGTAGAACATGAGTTATTGGTTCGAAGATTATTTTTAATTTAGATGTTTATGCGGCTTCTCTTGAATCATCACTCAATTTATTTCACTTACAATGATTATGCTCAAACTTTCACCGCTACTGTGCTTTCAAATTTATTATTCTTATATATCTTTATTATCGTCAGTGTTATTATTATCTGTACAAATATATTTTCCTTTGTTATGAATGCTCTGTGCATTGCGTACATTACTGATGATCCATTTGTATTTTTTAAGTCTCATGTGAATTTCGCACCAAGTAAATTCTTTATGAATGTTTCATCACCTATTTTCATTTTCCTATCTTAGTTTCCTAATAAATATGTGTAAGCCATCATATTTCGAGCACCTCATATGAACATATTTACGAGAGCCGTCTACACTTAAATATACAGAGTTTTATTCATTTTACTTGATGTTTTGATATCATACTGGCTCTTTATCAGTTCCATTTGACCGTTTTGTGATCCGTTATCCAACCAGGAGTTCGTGATGGGCTCCACAGGGTCTTCAGAAGCACTTAATCTTGCATTCGGTGGGAGGAATATACTGACCTCGCTCAAATAATAGTACTTTTTCAAAAAGCGTTTTGTATTTCGCTATAAAAATGTGTGATTTTTCGGATTTTCATACTCTGATGCCGGTTATTTCCCAACGGAGTGCTTAAAATTCCAAAACATTAATGTTTTGTTTTGTTTAATTTTTCTGGTTTTCCGTAACTCTGGGTGTGTTACTGTGACGTGATTATTGAACAAGACGTTGTTCGACCAAGATCATGGTTATTGCGAAAATGATCACAGTTTGGCCGTTGTGCGACCGAAATGACCGGATGGAAAAGTTGTTTTTGCGAATTGTGTTCGCACATGGGCATGTTTTACTACGTTGAGAGGTCTTCTGTGGACTAGGAAGTGACAGTTATACGGTCCAATTCTGAGCAGCGTTCTCGAGAAAGATATCGCCACAATAAGATTTTTTAATTGAACATTACAAAAACAACATTCAAGTGGAACAAAAATTAATTTGTATATGGAGCTGACTTTAGATAAATGCAAATGCTGCTTGAGTCGCAACAACGGTCGCACATGAAAGGTCATCCGGGAACCAGCTGAAACGGTGATGATGATTGGTGCATGTAAATTATCGGCGAATCGACGAGAGGATATAAGCAATGAGCGAACTTCCTACTTTCCAAGCTTGTCCTTGTACTTTATACTATAGCGACTCGCATCATTTCAGAATAATGTGACTAAACCAAAGAACTTTGATGGTTACCTTTCAGAAGGCTCACGCCTGGCACAGCGTTATATTCGATATTTTCACAAGGGAGCTACCAACATTGTCAGAAAAGCTTTCGAGAATGAGGTTGAGTGCTTAGACTCAAAGCAAACACTCAGTGGTGGTTGGCTGTGTGTCGAGGACATGACGATGTGCATCTTGATGCCGATGAAAAGGGCTACTCGCAATATTCCAATTGTCATTCACACTCGCAAGCTGATGTGCACCTCCTGATGGCACCGTCAAAGTTTGCAGTTACAAAACTTCTGTTCTTTGCGCTGATTTGTATTTCTCCTTCCAACATGACTTTTCAAAATGTGCTAACATATTCGCCATTTGATTGTGGAAATCGCCAACTTAGGTGACACCAGCTTACAGTTTCGCGTGTAAAGAACTTGTTTCTTTTCAGGAAATGTGGACTTATGTAACTAAGAGGAATCTGATGTGAATGAACTCCCTGAGAAGGAATTTATTGCTGGAAGAATGCAGCAGCTATATTTCTGCTTTTATCGACACTAGTAAAAAATGTCAGTAAAAAGGCATTCTCACGTCGTTCAAGGAAACATAAGATGCAAGCGAATTCACTTTCTATGATGTTCTTATTTACGTCATTTATCGCCACCGTTGTCTTCTGTTGTTATTATTTATCACAGTTATTATTATTGTTATTATTATTGTGATTGTTATTATTATTGTTATTGTTATTATTATTAATTAGATTTGTTCTTATTAGGTATATGAGTGTATCAGTGAGCATAACCCGTTTTTTATAATTTGATTTCGTAATATTCGTTTTGAATGCCAACTTTTTCCGCGTTGCATACAGTCGATGATTTATTTAATTAAAAATGATTAAATGTAATGTTGCTTACCTATACAGCTGATGATGATCTTTTTTGAAAAATCAGACATCATCATTAGACTTCATATTCAAAATTAAAGCGTAAACAACCATGTTACGATTACAGTTTTATTTTTTGTTGTCCCGGAATCTTTTTCAATTGATCAAATCTTTCTGGGAGACCGTCATTATCCTTCTACTCTACGCATAACTTCAGAACTAATTGCTCGACCCTCTCTATTACTCCGTGACACCCCTGAATAACCCAAAAATGGGTAATTTCTCCCCTATGGAGAGCAGTGTGCTAGGCTGATTAATGTGCGTCGGACAGCAACATTTTCTGGGATCATCGCAGTAGAGGAAAGTCCCCGACTAAAATGCCTTGAAAGAAAACTGCAGCGAAATAGCCTGTCGTCGAAGTGCTTGCACCATTGCAAACATAACATCAAACTATTTCATTTTCTTGGTTCCTTAATCGTGATATTGACGATTGTGACAGCATGTGTTCATATGACTAATTGACCAGTTGGTTATGAGAGTGCGTGTTCGACCACATAAAGGAATGAATTGCGAACGGAATGTGTTCATCCGGTTCTACAGCAGCTCACCAACGATTTCAACGTCATTTCGAATGGTTGTCTCTAAACTGGATGAAAGTTTTTGAAACGAACTGAAATCAAAGAAAAGTCAACAATGTTGAAAAAAATCCTAATTACAAATTACATCAGCAGCAACAATTATCTCATGATGTACGTTATTGCCGTAATCGTGCGCGTATATTTTCTGATTGGAAACTATCATCCTATGCATATATCATAAATTCGCTAGGGTTCAAATCTCTCGTTTGCCGAATAGTATTTTAGCATAATGGGAACACTGTTGTTTGTTGAATAGTACTCTCGTATAATGGGAACATTCTTTTTGCAATCGCTTCCATAGGTTAATTGGTTTTCGAGAGCTTCTTACCCAGATCACTTCGTATAAAGCTTTCCACAGGCTTAGCATGTTTCTGACACGTTGCTATTTGGACAGAGTGCGACGCGAGAATAAGGCTGGTACCATTACGCTGTATTTCAAACATGGACAGTGCAAACCATTACTAGGCATTTTAAGATATTTTGATGTAGTGGGCATATACTGCCAAATGGTACACGTTGTACACGTGTGAAAAAGCCGGGAGATAGTTCGAGTGAATATTTTCAGTTCTTCTAGAAGTCACAGGTAGTGATAGATTCATTGAGAATATTGCCTGTCTTATCATAATTTTGATATACACAGTAAAGTCTAAAAAAATGATAATGATGGTGATCTAGTCCATCTACTGCAAGAGAGAGATACTGTTAGGAAGATTGTAGGCCACAGTGACATTGGAAGAAAGAGCGTTATCAGTTTCAGCTGTAGTAAACTGTGAAGATAAGCGAAGTTTTATGAATGATTAACTTAATGTAAACTAACAATAAGTAGAATCTCAATTGGAATGCCTTCTCCTTTGCAATGATCCGTTTCATCTGTGTTAAAATAACAATTTTCAAAGATCGTAACAGTCTCTCACACCTTTCAATTCATCTCAAGCATTGAGAATGTTTCTTCTAGATTTTAAATTCAACACGTCATGAACAAAAAGTGATTTCAATTCACATTCCATCATTTAATTACCTTATAACGATTGTGAATGAAATTTTCCCGAAACCTTCTCCATTGTTTTACTCTTTTATATCATGTATTCAAACTAATATGTGTTATTTCAATCACACTGCACGTAGGCATATTGGGGAAGAAACTCACCATCCTCAATATTTGCCTCACAGTAACAAAAAATCGGCAGAAATTTCATTCGTTAGCATTGCTAACGAATGAAATTTGAAAGTGTGCTGACTTAGCACAATTTCATTTTGCCTCTTCGATGGATGTATACTACGACTGGGTACAATTCTCATGAACCATCCATGACCAGTCGTGAACTTTGCATCCATCACAATCAGGTATCTTTTAATGTGCTTTTTGCACATTGATAACTGCTTCTCATGAGCCGCTTTTTGAATGATTCAGGTTGATAATTCTATTCATTTGCCAAAAGCGTAAAGACTTTCAATTTCTTCGCAGATTCCGCCTTATTCTCGACCGGAGAAGAAAGTTTCAGGTCATTGAGCATCATCACCTATGATAGGCGATAAAACTTATACACAACCAATGATACAGCTGTGTGATTCAATCCAAAAGATGTCAAAAACCGCCTTTCTCAAGTAGTTTTGTATTCGCTGCTCCATCCTGCGATGGAATAGGAAGGTATTTAAACTTGATGATTCTGACAGCAGTTATTTTTGAAGTCGTAGCAAAAAAAANAAAAAAAACTGAAGAATTTAGATGAAACACAAGCGCGTGGATATATGCATAGAATGAAAGGTGAACATTCATTTGATCACTGGAGCACGCTAATAGTTATTCGTTAAGATTTTGCTTCGAAAGACTAGTCATTAGAATAGCAGACTTACCAATATTGTTTTCATGCAACTTTCCATTCCTAGAAACATTCTGTGACAATGTAATTGCATCACTCAAATTTGTGTTATGTATTCTAACATCGTTTATAGCATGATTTCGACGTGTTTTAATTGTTTTTGACTCCACTAGATCATCTTTTCTGGTTTGGTTCTATCGAAGAGATTTTTTTAAAAGGAAATTTTTTGGAATAGAAGTGGCATATCTCCGAAATGGGCATAATTTACAACGATACGTGTCGAAGTATAACTGTGGTGCAATTTTTAAAGATTTTGGAAGTTCGTTGTTTCTGTGCAATGCGTGATTGGAAAGAACAACAGAACTGGCATGTAGCGATATCAGAGAAGCACATACTATTAATGAGTTGTGAATGCTATCAGCTAAAAACCAAAAATGACAGCTTAATCTTGCAAAGTTTAACAGCTACTGCATGCTTCCCTTTCAGCATCAGAGAGCAGATGTGATCGACTGGAGATTTTAGCGTAATATTCTCACGATTGTGGTCTTTATAGATTGGTAAGAAGGCAGCACCTGCAACGTCGAAGATGTATATGATTGAGAATCTTGCATGAATAAAAGCTAATAATGGATCGATTGATGTGAAGTGGGTTGGATCTATGGGATGGATGTTGAGAAGGCGTGAAGAGACTGGATCAACGTATGAAAGAAACGAACAGTAGCGTTTAATGTTGTCACAGCAGTTCGTGTTCCCATATCCATCAACTTGCATTGTGTTCCTCTGTCGAAAACTCATCCTCCGTCCTTGTTATAAACCTGTCTCTTATTCAATTTCACCACTTACAAAACCCGTCGGATTTATCCATTTAAACACAATCGATCATCATCTAGAGTGTCATTAGTATTGCTCTGCTCACGGCAACCATCTTCAAGTGCTTTCACATTGCACATTTTTTGCAGTTTGTTTCAATAGTTACATTGTGGCTCTGGAACTACAGTACGAGAACACTGTTTGATAGAATCCATCACTGAATACTACTGATCTGTTCGTGGAATATTCTTCTCGATATCTTCAGCAAATGGTTTCACCCACAACTTCAACGCCACTCCTTTCCCTCTTTCTACTTCTTCTCATTCCACTTTTATGTATGTATTCGTTTTGTTTTAAATCGCCTTGGTTTATTTTTCATCAAATTCAGCATGAAAACCATGTACTTTTTAGACCTTGCGAGTCGACTGAGAGTTACGCTTGTTTTTGAAAGTCTTCTGATTAGTCGCTGCAATCTTGTTCGTTTCAGAATCGATTGAACTGTATCCAGTTTAACCGAAAACATTTGTTAATATGTTTTCTCTATTTATGAGAACTTACTTCTAATAAATGCTATGCCTAGTCATGATGCTCATAAGCAACTGAAGTGAACGTTTATTCAGTGAAACTGAGCTTTGCTATGATAATTTGAGGATAATGATTTCTGAGATTACATTCACACCGTAATTTTTTCAGCTAGCGGACAGGTAATAATCAAGCGTTTTAGCAAGGAAAATTGCCGCATCAATCCTTGCCTCAATGGTGGTACATGTGTCCCTGGTAAAATTTCTTGTGATTGCGCACCGGGATGGATGGGACGATACTGTCACAGTAGGATGCTTATTTCATTCTTTTTTCACCATCTTTTCACACTGAACATTTCCAATAAATTCGTCAGAGAAAGTTGATATTACTCTAACTATGATTCATTGAGTGAGTGAATGAGTATAGAAATTTAGGAAAGACCTTTGCTGCGAATATTCTCATTTTGAAGTCAGTCGTTCACACATTAGGACTGTTTTCATATGTTTTGAGTGCACTATTGAAATCGATATTTCAACTGTGGTGATCCGTGCAGTTTGGTTTAGCGCTAAGTTTTTTATATTGCTAGATGAGACAGTCTAAAACGATCGTATTAGCGCAGGTCATTACGTTCATATAATCGAACCAATTTTTATCCTCAGCTCATATCCTGCGGAGGACAATTCGTTTTCTTTCCAGCTCTAAGCTTCCTCAGTTAAAACAACAATTGTCCTTGAACCTAGACATCTGTTTTGAACTAAAGAAAGTTATATCAAGCAGCCGCTAATAATCATTCTTGTGTTTCAACTTCACAAAATGTGTGATTGCATAAGCTGTAAGATGGTATGAGCCTGGATACGAAGAGTTGTGAATGAAGATGTATGATATGCATTAGTATAACAAAGGCAGTCAGTTATCCCAAGTTGTCATCATTCGATGTTATCATTCAGGTTTCTTATTTAGACAGCAGAAATGATAGTTGAAATTGTTTAAAAGGGTATTGTTTTTATCGAATCATCATTAAGGGCACTGTCGAAATATATACAAGAGCTGTGATCGATGGGCAATGGAAGATAAATGCGAGTTAGTTCGTTCACAGACGAACTTCTTCGATATGAATTGTGCCGTTAGCTGTCATACTTGTACTCCTAAACCTGATCAACGTTCGTTAATCTCATCATAATATCCATTATATCCTTAATGATTTTCCGATCGCAAACGTGATAAATTATCTTGCCAGAAATCTACTCAAATAGCATCTTCGTATCCTTTATAAATGTCATGTATTCCTGAGTGTTTCAAGTTTTGATCGGTGATGGGTAATGATAATTGCTTTCAAAATAATAGGATTTTTATTCGAATGAAGTGGTAGAATTTTATCCCGCATAAGAAAAGTCTAGCACGAAACTTAATAAAATTCGCGAAAAAAAACGCAGTCATGAAATGTACGTGCAATCACGTCAATATTATTTTAAAAAATCATATTTATAGAATTGAGCGAAATCCCAATTCCGCCGGCCTTAGAACCACTACAATTTATGGTTGGTAAATGGCATTCGTTAGCTGCAAAAGGACTGCGTTATCCAACAGATATGTACTCGAATTCATATGAGGAGGTATTCGATGTTATACCAGCTGAAGTGCCCATGTTTGGAACGCCTGCATTGAATATGACGTAAGGTTTAAGGATCTCATTGATTAATCAGTATCTGGAAATATATCCGAATGAATAAATCAAAAATTGCTGACCTGAAGTGGCACAATTAACGATCCAAAAATAGAGTGATTGATTCTTTTGTAGAATATCTCTATCAAGTGTGTTCAAAACCGAAGTTGTAACGGTCATTCAATTATTTACCATAATTTAGGTCGACGTTCCAATCGGAGTGCGACAACAATGAAACATTTTGCACCATTTATCTGAAATAACGTTTTTCATTGACTTGACACGATTCGTAACCATATTCATCTTTGTTCACAAAAACTGTGCATTAAAAAATTTCCATCAAAAAATTACAGGAGCACATCACGAAGCGGCAACGATACACGAATCACTCAGGCATTTCTAACACTAAAAACGAATTCCAATCCCACGGAAGTGGCTGTTCTAAGTACTGGCAATGAAGGTTATAATCTTAATTACATTATGGTGATAGAGTATGCTTAGGTTCTGATGAAATAAACACCACTGCATTACCACAAATATCGGTATTTTCTAACAGAAATGGGGATCAACTGAGCACCGTTGGAATTTGTAAGAACCTACATTTTTATTGATAAGAATTCAGTGAATCATTCTCATCTTTATTTTTATGAGTGAGTGTTCATTTGAAGGACTGAATATGGTTGAATTGGGCACAGTAGATGATCATATGGTAATGCTGAACATCAGTTATATGCAAGTACATCCTTCACTCGACAGCACTATTCTCCCACTCGGAGTAAGTTTACTAATCTCATTTGTGATCACTAAATCAATGTTTTCAAGCATATTTTCATAAATTTCGATGTTACTGAAGAGATCATATGCGAACGATACAATTCTGCGCTCTCGCATCACTTTACTGAACGACATCATAATACAGTGTGTGAAATTATCCTCAACAGAGTATGCAAAATTTCTGCAATATCCACTGAAAATATACTTGTGCAGTTAGCTGTAAGTTACGTTATCAGGTGATCATAATGATGAGATATTCGTTTGGATCTAAGTTAATAATTTCACAAAATAAAAACGGATTTCCGTTGGCTTGCAATTGGAGTTGGTCCGTTACCATTAGCAGAAGCCAAAGGCGGTCGGTGATCTCTGGAAAGCGAACTCTGGAAGCGGATAGTCCAAAAGATTTTGTTCTATTCCAAAAGATTCTGTTCGGTGGCAACTGAAGACCGAATTTCTGCGCCCCTGACGGGAACCGCAGCGGTTGATCGGTCGGTGGCCACTGGAAGAAATCTTTCGATTTCCAGCTCTACCCACAGACAACTCGCATCCTATCAATCGAAAGTATTCACATCGACTGCGTAATGAGTGTACTTTTCCGTAAATCTGTTTCAGCTGCTTGCTTGATGTGATGCATAACGCAGAACTTTTCGGCTAGAATTGTGAATAAGTATCATCAGAAACGAAGCACTCTACATACAAAACAGAGAATAATTAATGAAAGAATGATGTAAAGAAAAGGGATGTAATTGAAATCAATTGGGTAACGTTATCAAGATATAAAGTAGAACAATTAAAGTAGAGCGATCGTTGAATTACATTCCGTTTAAGAACTAAACTGAGCATATGCAAAACACTCGTTGTGCCAAAACTTTAAAGATAATTTTCTGATTGTAAGTGAGAAGACGAACTCATCAACTGAAATATAAGAAAATATACAGGCAACCCGCCGATTTCGGATGAACGGGCAGTTCTTGGAGATGACCGTCGCGAAACTCTTCCCCGATAATAAAGTTTCTCAATTCAAGAAGATGTTCCGCAAAACGAAAGACTATCCACTTTGAGAATGTTTATTTTGAATTTGTATGATATGATTGTTGATAATCAGAATGATGTGTATCTTATTTATTAGTATTTGCTTAATTTAGTGTCGATTAATTTGTTGAATGCGTTCATTTGAAACACATTTCTGAATTGAAATATTATAATAAACATTTATTTCATCCATATTATTGTTTGGAATTAACGTTTGAATGATGTCGTCTGCATCTGAGGTGTCAATCGATCATTTTCAGACGCCATATTTTTTTGTTAAGTTTCCCCGTTTTCATCACTTCCGATACATGTAAAAGAAAGAATGTTAAAGAAAGCAACAAGTGTTCAGAGTGCTGACTATCTGCATGCCATTGGACAGGAACCTTTGGTCATTCACTTATCCAAGCAGCCTTCCGATCATCAATTCCCATGTGTTTTCAGTTGTAATATTACATTGGAGTGATTGTTAGCGTAGCAACAACAACAAGATCAGCGAATTTTGTTGTTATACATGTAAAACTCTAGACATTTGCTTTTTCGGTTTACAAATGCAACTTCAAAACATAATTTCTATTTAGCCAGCATAATTTTGCTCCCTCTTTGTCGTCATGTTACTTGACCTTCGTGAATTCCAAGAAATCTTTTTAGCAATGTACCCGTTTCATTTTTTTATTATCGCATGTTATTCACACAGTACGTCATGAATAAGAACTTAGTTTATACATTTAATTGCCGCGTTAATGGTATCTTCAATTGTGTGTCACTGGAATGAATATCAGCAAATTCGGTTGATGTTTGATGGTGTCGAAAATCGGAACCAGAAATTTCGTTGAATGTTTTATTTCATCATGAATTCCCATGTGTGTTTTTAGTTGTAATATTACGTTGGAGTTGTTGTTAGCGTAGTAACAACGACAAGGCGCTTGGTCGGGTAATAACAACAACAAGACGCCCGTTCAAATCCCAAACTAGTGTTCGTCGGGGAACGGGGTCCCCGTCGGGGACCCCGGCGGGGAACGCGGGGATCGCTCCCCCCCCCGCGCAATTTGCTCCCCGACATTTTCGCGGGGACCCCCCTCGTCCAATTTACTCCCCGCGGGGACTCCCCCCCGTGCAAAAAATTGCTCCCCGACGAACACTATCCCAAACTGAATACAGCGTCTTTTGGGAGAACGTTTCATCGGGTCGAATGAAGCGCTGCATTGAACTTTGAATATTTTGTTTCATATACCAGTAGATACGTTTCATCGAATCACTCGATCATATTAAACCCTCCTATGTATCACTTAAGTTTGCACCATGTTCTTCAAATTTCTTTACGCTTAGTACGTAACGCATACAATCTATTCGTCTACCACTAATGATTCTGTTATCGTTTCGGACGACTATGAATTGTATTTGAAGATTCGATGATAAACATCCTCTTTTTATCAAAAATATTTCAAAATTCCATTCAAAACGTGCGTTTTTTTATCATTACCCTTCGCGATTAATTGGCTTAATTAACTCAATAATCATTCTTCGATAGATATCGCTGTCATTGTAATTTTACAGTGTACTTATTGAGTATCCCGATAAAAACTGAAGCCTTTCTACTGCTCCCTCTACCTAAACAAATTAATCGCCGCATTCATATGCAGCCTCCACAACAGCGACGGTCTCGTAATGACAGGTAAGTTGGAAACTTTATTGCAGGTCTCTTAGCTCATAATTGATCATAAATATTTATGGAGAGTCTCAATTTGAGATATCGGCCGGGCTAACATGCCCCAATAAATCAGTTTAACTTTGCAGCCCGTTCCATTGTACGTAACCCGAAGTGCTCCTCTCCATAAATACGATTCAGTCGTCATGTGAGTCTTTGATTTGTGAACCGTTCCACAAACGAATGAAACAAAACTAATTTCTTATGAACCTGCAGTGCTGATTATTTCGAAATTTTCAACTCTTCAATCCAGTTCACTCTCTCACTGTATGCAATGTGTGTTGATATTACAAGCAATTTAGAGTAATCAACAACAAACTTTACAATAATAATGAACAATAAACGTGTAATATTAATTAGCAGCAGACGTTCATTCTTAAGCCTTGGGTTTAATAGTTTAGAATTACGAACAATCCATCCCACAAACGCTTTTTAGAATATAATTTGTTCACATGTTTGGGACTTTCCATGCATTGTGTGTATGTTTGATTGGAATAGTTTAGTTAAAAGTTGGAGTGTTTATGTGAGCAATCATTTGAATATATTTCATCGATGACCTCGGCATTCTACTGTTGTTGTTGCTGTGAATAAGTGCACGCAGCAATATACGTAACTTCGTATAAATGATAACGATCAGTCAGATCAGATCAACCCAATTAGTCCCGCTTTGCATGCCAAAGATAAATATCGTAATTTGTTTGGCTCGAACTAACCATTCATACAACCACATAAAAAGTATCTAGTTCAATCACTCGAAATTATGAATCAACGAAAAGAATAAATGATTTGCATTACGTACTGCAATTGTGGACCGAGCTAATTATTGTGAAACAATCACACGGATCAGTTTGCTTTGCCATAATCTCATTCTGAATTTAGGCATTTACCATACACCTACCGTCCGAAGATACCTTCTATCATTTATAACATATCGTTCATGGTATTTCGTTAGAGTCAGTTCTTCGTATGGAATAAATAAAAACATTCACAGTTGCGAAAATTTTCGTCGCGTTGGCATCATGGAATTAAAATTAAAATTCGTACCAAAAGTTTAATAAGAAACCGTATTTTCCGTCGAAGTGTACGTTTTTTGATGGAGAGATTCAATCTTTTCCATTACAGTCGAAGAAACGTTCCTTTTTCGTCTTCTTTTAATTCGAGACTTCTAAAATCTTTGGATGGTAGAGACTCATGTGGTAAAGCAGAACGAACAGTGGTAAATAAAAACATTAAGAATGATAACTAGCTGATAAGAAGAGCAAAATCTGTTTGCTTAGTGTTGTTGTATGATCGGAGCAGTGCACCTACCGGGGCGTTAGTATGGTGATCGTGAGCTCATCCTGTTCACATTTCACTATTTCGTCAATAGTTTTGTTAATTCCATTTCGATAAATCAGTGAAACATCAGAAATTCATTGGTACGAATTACGTCAGAATTTGGTGAACCCTAATAAACGAGCTCTAAGATGGCCGAATGTCCCAAGATCAGTTTTAACTAGAATGAGTTTTGTGTTCATATGCGCTCAGCGTAATAATTCATATAATCAACGCAGTGATTTATTTCATGAAGCATTACCCACCTGCTTTGATTATATCTGACGTTAAGGTGGATGATAAACTGCAATAAAAAGAGTATCTTTCCAAGCGTTTCCATGTCAATATACACAATTAGTCGTTTTTGCCGGATTAAATTGACTGCTTTGACTTGCTCAAAACACAAACTAGGGAGAAAAAATTAGCACTTTTTTCCGTCGATGTCAACGTTATCTTGGTCTTACTTCTCAGAACAATTCAAACAGAATAAGCTAGGAATGAGCTTTCAAAATACTACCTTACATGTAAAGGATGTCCACAGAGCGTGTAGTGATTAGCGAAGATCTTTGTCAGCTCAAGGATTGCAGATATTGGTATTCGATCAGCATTACCAATATAGACAATCCCAGACCAGACGACAATCGTTTTTACTCACTATTTTCTCTACGAAAGAAGCTGAAGCAGCTAAACTGAACAAAACGAATAAATTTGTTGGATATGCTATACTTACAGTTGAATTAAGGAAAGCACACATCGAAGACAGAGATATGCAGTGGGATGAATGCGCATTAAAATTACGGGATCAAAACAAGTTTCAATACAGAGTCTCGACGATAATGAACCACCTAGGTGATCGTTATGATTGTGAAACTATGTGAGGGCAGTTATAAACGAAACGAGCAATGCATAGCACAGCAACCGACATGTTATCAGCAACAACGTATGATAAGATTAGTGATGAATACGATCACCGATCTCATCGATGTTCAGATGACCCCAAGTGCGGCCGATTACATACAGGAGGACAACACCACATGAAATTAGTTAATTGTTTATCTTACATCTCCGTTATATTTATAATTATGTTTGTACATTCACTACCAACATCAACAACCTACTTACTCAACGAGTTCATCCAAACCATCTGATCTATTTTACTGTATAGCAATTCTTCATGCTCGCATTATTCCACTTTACACACTTACGTCGCGCAACGCACCCTACTTATTGTTAATATTTCTTTTCTAACCGCCTACCTCTAAGTTAATCAAACCTAAGCTTGTTCATCAAACTCATCCCTATTTCTTACTTAACACAAAAACGCGGTCGGTTCATTTTATTTTTGAAGGCATTCTTCCACTATTGTTGATACAATCCACACATTACATGATATCACTCTTAGTGTTATATTTGTTGATAAAAATTATCTCTAAATAAAGGTTGAAATTATAATCAGTTGATCGTTTGCCTCTTACACATGCTGATTTCAAAATTTCTGTGAGATAGGCAATGGCAGGATCATGACGCTATTCAAGAGGACAGTCGTCATTTTCAACTGTACGAATGATTTTTTTTGAAGGCATTCTTGAAAGTGTGAATATTGATTGGCCAGCTGAATGACGGAAAGTTGAAATGGCCCTTGTTCAAAGCACAGTAACAACAAATTGTAATTATTCTAAACAGATTTTTAATTATGCAGCATGAAATTATTTTTTAGCGATATTCGCGTGATAAGATCCTTTCCAATTCTATTTATGCTGTATTCATTCATTAAATCAGCTGTTCTGGTTGAACTGTTTCGGTTCACTTTTTCCCGTTTCCAAGTCTTTTTCCAAACCGCTCTGTTCTCACCAAGATGTGATCCTGGTAACAAACTATTATTATGGGTAAAACAGTACTTATTGATCACAGGTTTGCAGTTATGATTCACTCGTATCAAGCAAATAGGGAACGACGAGAAATTGTCACTAAGCAGACGTCTGATTCAACCACTGTAAATTAAGATTAATC